TTTTAAGTAATTCGCGAATGTCCTCCTCAACGGGGCTCGTGGCCTGAAAAATGTGTTTACCACTGTTAAAAGGATTCATTTTGTAAGGCAGGAGGTGTAACAATGACATAATGTTATCAGCCACTCAAAAAAATCGAAGTACAGTAATTGAGCCTATTCACCATGCCTTGACGCAACCATAGACTTAAATCCGTGAACTTCAGAGTTCATTAACACGAAACTTTCACGTTCATAGTTTGTGGAAATTGTACCAAAGAGCAATCAAAAAGCGGCATGAAAATAACAAATGCACAACAAAATCTGCGAGAAGCAAATTATTGTCGATTTCGGATTTCTTACACCCTCATTTCAGGTGGTGTTCAGGAATTTGTCTCTTGGTATGTAGGTATTATTATGCGTATATCAATACTTCATTACATGTGGGCTATTGTTAAGTCATTTCATCATGGTTATGTAGTTTACTAGTTTGCGATCGGTTTTGGTGAAAGTTGTGAACTCAGAGTAAGAATTTGGGCCACTTTTCTCGTGCCTAACGTGACACGGCGAATAAAATTATTATGTTCGACGAATTATTAGTAAATTTGTTATAAGAATAATCGTTTTTTACATGATTAAGTACATGCGAGCATTAATACAACAGCTACTCGCATATACGGAAAGCTTAAATCGGTAGGAAAATTGAAGAAAAGGTTCGAATCGAATCGAACAATCTTCAATACTTTAAGTTCTCATTGGTTCAGGCGAAACTTAAGTTTGTCGTGGTGAATGTTCATTTTTTATGTAAATTGTACTGCAAAGTTTACAGCATATCATTACGGTAGTGTTTGCAGTGTCGTAGGCCTAATCCTAGAGCGCTCTGGATCGGTCCGGCAAGGACGGACGGACGAGACACACGGCGTCTTTTAATACTCGATTACAATCTTTCCGGTATGGATGCGCACACTAGGCCATCACGGATCTGCACGTTGCGTTGTTTGCAAAAAGTCTGAAGGAAATAACTTTTGAACATTCCGATTCCATTCCGGCCACGCCGATGACGTATCGGCACGTGCATCAAGTCGGGACGGCTCTCCGCTGGTTCGGTTGTGAGGTTACGTGAAGCGTATCTCCACTTCAATACTGCTGTTGATTCACAATTAATCCGAATTGTACAATTTGATAATAAGTTTTATTTCAGGTATTACCCGACACTCCAAATTAATTTGTAATTGAAATTATCTGGATCAAGTAGTAACATTTGCCAAATTTAAAATATTAGGTGCTTATAAGGAGCTATACAATAATAGTGAAACTGGGCGATATTTTGGAATGACTGGATTGGTCAATCAATGTAAATTATTTTTATCGACTTGATGTGCGTAAAATATATACGTCTTGTGTGTAACGATTATTTTCAGTTTTAAAAAAAATTAATAGTTATGATTTTGGCTATGATAGTTAATAATAGTTAGATAGTTAATAAAAAAATTAATAATTATGATTCTGGCCCTTAGTTTTAAAAAATGTTAAACAATTACATTTGCCAATATATTTCTAAATATTCAATAGAGCTTCAAATTTATGAGACACTCTAAAGTACTGAAATAATTTTGTCATCTTCAAGCAGGTCGGGATGTAGCAAGTGAAATTCAACCTTTTCTCATTCTCTTTTTCTTTACAAAATGGGGGCTTTCTTCGATTCCTTGCCTCGTTTTCCTCGCTATTACAATTTAACACAAAGCGATTGGTTCTATACTTAACATTATGAAGCGTCGCATTATGAAGAACCGGAGCAAGGAGCCAAAGTGACTCAGAAACGCGTTGGATTTTGTTTTATGGAAGTCGGTAAAATCCGAAAAGTGGTACAAGAAGCTTCAGACCCGACTCGTGGAATATCTAGTACGAAAAGTCTCTGCCATCCTGTTGCATCACTAGTTTATTTTGTTAAATATATGAACTGATATAACTATCGTCTCCTACATTATTTCAGTAATTAAATATATCAGTTTTTTGGCTCTAACATGCAACTAATCTTTATAAATGAGGTCTAAATAAATAAAATTTCACGGATACATGACGAATTGGACGGTGAGGTAAAAATATGAAGGATTTGTTTTAAAAAACGCATCTAAATATTCATGTTAAATGCAACCCGCATCATTCGGGTACCATTATTAATATTTATTTAGTTAAATCACTACTAAACTTAGCGTTCTAAGGCCTTAAAACCAGGACATTTGAGGCAAAAAGGCTACTAAGAAATGTTTCACATACCGTAATCTTCAGGGTAAAGTGTAAGATAAATAATCTTTCTGGACATTTTGTTACATTTTTGCTGGTCCCGCACTTCTCGTTACTATTCCATCTGTTCAAAGATGGGCAGAGTCTGCAACTCTTACTTTATTTTATTTTTAAGTCACTATATCAACCGAAATAATTTGCGATCACTGGAATTTACATAACAGATGTTTATCTCGCTCTTTATTATGTTCTCTTTAAGTTAATTTTTATCGAGAGTGAAAATATTGTTAATGCATTAATTAGTAAAAATATTTTATTTGTTAATTTTTTCTACCTATACCTAATTTATTTTTGTAACTGAAATTTTAACTGACTGCAAGTTTTTAAACCTCTTTTTCTTTTACATCACGTACTTATTGTCAACCTTATACAACATCAAATTTAATGCACTTGTTGCTAAACATCATTTTTCGTCAGTATAAGTGACTTCATGACTTACGATGATGGCACTTAACAGCAACCTGTTGACGGAAGTACAGAAGACGCAATCAGAACCTGGCCATTGATGCCGCAACCTTTAACCCGACGCACCGCAGTCTCTTTGATGTCGGATATTTTTAGGCAACAATAGTGCCGCTCCGCCTAGCGGAGAACGACCTGTGTTCCTTTGCCAACACGGACCAGGGATGACCAGCGCATGGCATTAGGGTTAAAGAGAAGAATTTTTACCTGCTCTTTGTGCTTTCAGTAACCATCGATCAGAATGTTTGTCAACTAAAGAGCAACTAATTATTCTATATTTCACTGCTTCCAATTACGTACTTGTACATCTGGTAGCGAGTGGCCTCGTGTCAACTGTAGTTTTCAACATGAAAATTCGGATTTTTAAATTCTTCACTTCCAGGTCGTGACCAAAGTATTATGCCCAACGATATCCGTTTCCTTCAGAATGTCCTAAATCACAATCATTCCGTATTAATAAAGAAGAAAAATCTCTTCTTATTAATATTTCAGAATCAATTTTCACAATCGATTTTCCGAAAAGATGATTTTCTCATTTGATACTTAACAGTTGTCACATTACAGTTGAATACCTAACAGTTAGGATATTAGATTTCTTAGAATTTTAATGTCTTTCTATTGACGAATGTCGCTCAGTCTACCCGAAACTAGATTTTCGTTGGGCGACAGGATGTGCTGCCAGTCGTTCTATGGAGTGTAGTCGACTTTGGTTATAGTGAACTCGGATGTAGGGAACCCTCGGTTATAGTGAACTTAATCACTAGTCCCGTTTCACTTACATTACGCAAAAGTATAATAAAAATCGGTTATAATGAGCCAGAACCTCGGCTACAACTAACGGCGATGACGCGCGATTGCTTTCTTAAGTATCAATCTTGGTGTTTACTTTATAATCCGCGGGACAAAGCGCGTTGTGTTCTCCGTAGGCGACTCAAAGTGCGCGAATGCCACAGCTCCACAGCCTGGCGACGACATCCTATAACAACTATAATATTCTTAATATAAGCTAGCCTTCAATCCTCACAGGAACCAATGAAGTTACCCAGGAAGTTATTTAAGTGGTCTAATGATAATGAGAAGAACATTTCCTCTATATTTTTAGTAATGCTGAACAATACTTAGAAAAAGGACTACAGCAGCAATTATATAATAAAGAGTAAAAGGCACAAGGAAAATACAAAGTTCCATTTCTTTATGAAAAGGCCAATTAACGATATTTTCTGTAAAGTGAAGTAAAAGAAATATCAATTTAATTAACTGTATCACGTACTCTTATTCGTATAAATATTCCGTCCGTTTAAGACTGTATTAAAACCGTTTAATACTTTTTAATTTGAATTTAATCGGCTGTGGAAGTCTGGCACATAGTGAGATCAGGAGATACTTCTATTTATTGCTCCGTGAATTTATATTGTTAGTAATCGTCAACTATTGAATGGTCTTGAGGGGTAACGTTTTAGCGGACACTGCAGCAAAACAGCAAGTAGACATTTCTATTATATTTAATTTCTCAGAATCATCGCCGTGTCCCACTTTGTAACTTATCAGACTTAGAAATTTTCAGAGATTGCAATGATGTTTTTCTGAATTTTTAAACTGTCAAATTTTGGGACAAATTAAAAAATAATAAAAATAAAATAGTTCAATTATCTTTTTAAATTTATTGAATTTATTACAGACAAAATGAAAGAGCATCTTTTGTTCTTTAATTTTGCGAAATATTACATTTCTGTCTCAATTGTTAAAAAATAATTTTAAAAATGATACAAAATTATTAACTTTAGCAATGAGAGCATTTTTTTCGAAAATTTTCAAAATTAATATAATCTTGATAAATAATATTTAGGAAAAATAAAAAACACATGTTTTATATTTTTGCTTATACTCTTTACAGAAAATGTTTTAAAATCTGGCACATCAAGATCAAATTTTCCTAAAATTTATGCGATTTGATGTGGAATGACCCAATGGGCAGAGTAGAGCAAGCTAGCGTGAGACAGCGGGCGGGTGGCCGGGCGGGCGGAGCATGGTAAATCGCAAAGCGAAGGGGGTGAGAGAGGAGGGGTGGGACGGAAAGAGACGGAACGGATAGGTATGCTGCGAGATGTTGGAGAGGTAAATAAAATTACTTTTCAACACTTTTTCACCCATTACTTGTCCTGTTTAATAGATGATTGTGGTGAATAAGTGTCTGGATAACACCTGGTTCTCCTTCAGCTAGTTGAATGATAAAACACCGTTAATTTTCTTTGTTTTAGGTCCAAAGCTGATCATGAAAACAGTAGATGGAAAAAATATCAAAATCAAATATGGAATTTCTTCAACAACACAAGTGTTCATGGAGTCAAATATCTAGCGGAAATTACAAGACCGTACCCTGAGAGGTAAGAAATAAACGAGATATTTTGTAACAATATTTCTTCTTTGCGATGAGAGTTATGCTTTGAATTAAAAATATATCAATATTAATACTGAATATTACTACTTTTTTTAAATTCGTGTCTTTGTGAGAACGTCTTGACTATTCTTGAAGGTAAGATATCTTGATACATTCATTGTACTGTTTTACATATCTTTATTCTTGCTTACTGTAAAAAAATAAATTATGTTTCACGAAAGTCTTTGTAAACAACAAAACGACAATTTTAATTTCAAAGGCAGAGAAGCCAAGGAAAACAATAGCTTAAAGTTGTTGTTTTTTCAAATTCCGTTTTTCGTTTTCTATTTATTCCCATTCGTATTGGCGTCGAAGTGGAGTAATCCTACGTGAAACTTCAGTCTTCGTCAGCCTTCGTCAGTCATTGTCTTTTATCCCTTCGGCCAGGACCTCGATGCCGTTAAATCACCGAGGTTCCCAGATGGTCACCCTTCCAGAAAATCGCAAAGTATCGAGTTCCTGAACCTCTGTGACTTCACGCAGTGTGATGAAAGAATTTGGCTCCCGGCGCCGGCGGTTTGGGAAAAATACAGCTTGGCTTCTCAGCCCTTCATTTGACTGCGCACGTATGATTTATTTGTCATAAATTCATGCCTAGGATACTGTGGCTTCTGAGTATAGTTCTATCCATAATTGTATGTGGATATCTGATCAGTAAATCATGGGATGTCAGATCATCGTCTCCAGTAATACTAGCGATGGACAAGAAACAACGAGCCGTGTGGGATATCCCTTTCCCAGCAATCACTATTTGCCCTACTGATAGAATGAGACCAACAATTGGCCTAACAAAGCATAAAACGTAAGTATTAATATAGTTTAGGCAAATATATATAAAATTGTACCTATTTTTTCTGTTACCATCAACAAATCTGTTTTCAAAGATGTATTTGTATTTTTCAGAAATGCCATTCATTGTGCAATGAATCTCATTTGCGACAAAAAGTTTCCAGTAGAAGAGTGTAGTAATTCATCCGAAATTATTCAAACACTGGTCCAGGTTTGTAATTAGAAATTATTTTAGAGCAGTCTGTTAGCTACCCGCCACGAAAATGCTGAATAAAAGTATCTAAACTGGTTTACTAAAAAGTAGCACGCATACTGCTCAAGAACAACAAATAAAATTATTTTACAAAACACTGCAATTAATTAGTATTTTTACAGAAACAGTCTCACAAATACTTCAATAAAATAAGTTTACAATATTTACACAATATACAACAGATCTTTATACACCAAGAATACCAAAAAAGTTGTTGTTCCCTAACGCAACATGGAACTAGAATTTAATGGCGGGTGGCCTCTTTCATGAAGCCTTGCTTTCGCATAGCGTCAACCGGGACGCTCGCTGACTTGAGATATATCAGAAAATCGAGTCGATACACGCTGTGTGTGAATAGATGAAATAACAATTAAATATTTCCCTTTTTGAGTCAAAATCAAAACGGTTTCATATTTTTTGATTTTTCTCGAGTTCTGGGAATCTACCAAACCTTAAACACCTCTCATATGTCCGTAGGCTGCCACGTTTTCTTTCAATTTGTATGTGGGTTAGTAATACAGAGTACTTTTACTAGTAGTACAGATCTGTTCTAATTATAATTAGACTCGCGCCAAAAAAAAATTAGAATTTCTAATTTTATTGTTTAATAGTACGCTTCTAGAGCATTTAATACTATTTTGAAGCATTTATCTGCTATCTTCATTCTAATAACATAACTTTTACGTAGGGGAAAGGTCGCTATTGAACATTAAGTAGTAGTACTATCGCTATTTCCAACAAATGGCTTCGGCATGTGATAGTTAGTGGCGGATCCAGGGGGGGGGGGAATGGAGACCACGGGCCCCTCCGGAAGACCTAGAGTTTTTGTTTGTTACTTTCATTTATTTGGCAAAATTGATTTAAATATTTATGATAGAATTATTTAATGAATTAAAAATAATATTCAATAAAATCGTATATGCACTACAAAAATAATCTACAATATATTAAGAAATGTTATTATTTACAAACGTCAATGATGGCTCCTCCCAAATGATCAGCTGGATCCGCCCCTGGTGATAGTACAGGTTATTTTATGTGTGTCAACCCTTCAAATTATGATGGTGTGGCGTTTCTTTTAAACAGTGAGACATTCATCTACTTGGCATGTTGGGGTACATCAGTTTAATCGCTTGTTAACGTAATCACTTATTGTAATTACGTGATTTTAAAGGATCATACGTTCATAGTGCAAACTTGTAAGGAGGTAGGATATTTCCCCTCGTAAAGTTAGAGTTGTTAAAACCCTTCTGTAAGAAGGTATTTTTACACAATGCTAAGAGACTCACAATAAGTCAACAATTCATCAGTAGGGTCAGTATTACAATGAGTGAAAACGAAACATTAACCGAAGAGAGTTGGAAAATGATGAAGAAAACCAAAGCTCGCTCTTTGAATCATGAGAAAACTAAAAAAGTCTGAAGCTACTTCTAAAGAATTAAAAATAATCGAGTATGCAGCATATGTTCCCTCAGAAAGTGTCAGAACAAATTCTCTGAGAAGAGGGCATAATATCACGACGCCCCAGAAAGAAAGTAAAAATTACACCCGCATCGGCAAAGCAATGTAAAGCGTCGACCCGGTACGAGGTCTGAAACACTGGAGGTGCGAAAACTGAAAGAAAGTGTTTTAGTGATGAATCATGTTTCACTATATCTGTTGAATGTTCCAGATATGTTCAACTGTGATCGGATGAGATGTTCAAATTCGAATGTGTACAATAAACACCCAAAACATCCAACATCGGTTATGGTGTGGGATGTAATGTCTTCCATGGACTCACGAGACTATATAGTAGAGTAGGGTTATGTCCTCTTTTTGAATTAATGAAAACTGTCCGGGTGAGTTTTACAAGAATGGAGGGAGTGTCATATTTTTATTGGAAATGAAGTACTACTTTTAATTGCAACCTGGCTGTATGATTTACAAAGGATTCTGAGCTTGTTTTAACTACTTAGTGTTCCCGATATAACAATTCATTGTATAAAGAAATGATATTTAACTTCAACCATCTGTTCCACAATGTCTTCACTAACAACCGCCGAAATCCATAGATGAAGAACGTCTACATTTACCCCATTAAATGCGACTGTTCTGCCTTTATCTGGTACAACATATTGTACAACGTGATGTCCGATGGTGCTAGTTGTATCATCTGTGCTCTGTCATGATAATACTATTATTCTGGCCTGTAGAGGTAATTGTGGGAATTCCTCTTTTTGTGGTCAATACTACTCTGTGATGTTTACATTTCGAGCAGGATGCCAAAAAGAAATGCCTTGTTTAATGACATACTTATAAATTCAATGCGTTGGTTGCAAGGGTCAAAGCAAAGCAAAGTTTTAATTGTTCAGGGGAATTTTGTCAGCCACCAAATACTTGTCGTATAAAAGTGGAAAAGGCAAATGTTAATGAAGTAGGCCTATTGAGTGATGACAATGATTAAAGTATTTATTTTGAGGGTAGTAAGTATTTTGTCTTAAAGAAAAATAAATTATTATATTAAAAATTTTATATGAAGTGTCCTCTTTTTTCATAATGGAAGTATGGTAACCCTGTTGTAGAGGTAACGATGAAGCAAAACCAGTACTTAAAACTTCTAAATTAAGAACTACTGTATCATACATCAGCCTATTTAATGAAGACCCGTACGTACTTATGCATGTCAGCGCACCCTGTCATCAAGCTAACACCCTTCAAAAACGTCCTCTTGGAAAAATATTTTAGCGCATTGTCATGGCCGGAAATTAGTCCCGGTATGAACCCCCATAGAAAACTTTTGAGCTTCATGAAGGATAAGCAGAAAAATTATATTTCAAGTAATACGTTGAAGAGGAAATCAAGTCATTATGGCACACTAGCGTCGATTTGAAGCTCAAGTGCATGAAACTTGTAGAATGCATGCTACAAAGACTCGTGTTCTTAATAAAAAATAAATATTCCATAGTAAATATTTTTTGTGATTGTTCGTGAGAAACAAATTAGTACGTACTATGAAATATTACTCCTATTTAATTTAAATCTTTATTTTTTTCTGAATTTGAGAAATTTTTGTTTTAACCATTCCAAATATGTGAGACAGTTCCTTACAATTAATTTGGTTTAGGTACATATACAGATCAGAGTTTTTATTGCTTCAGAAATAAAATTCTTAGAAAACTGAAAGTTAATAATTCTAACACATCTGTAAATGCTGTAAAATCTACGACATGGATTAGACTTCTTTAGTTTGCGTTCCTAAGAGAGGTGAATGAGTTAGGGATTTTCTGTTCTCAAAATCCTACAAGAATCGCTATGACAGTTCAACATTCTGATGCATGCTGAAGTAGGTGATCCCGACAAGTAGGTTCTTATCATCCCCACAATTAAATCAGGATATGTAGTTGACTATAATATTAAGCAAATCGATAATTAATATTATTCAGTTTGAGCTAGTCAGCTTTTCACCAGCGCTGCTTGATTTATTTTTTTTATTATTTTTTTTCTATGCAGTGTTCATAAAATAAAAATAAATTCAATTGATGAACATTCGTATAAAACGTGTTTGTTTTTGCTTCAGATGGCTTTTTTGCAGTTCCGGGGGGTGTAGATATTCGACTATCCGCGCCGGGCACCCTCTATGTCATCCATGGCGACACATATTAACCTTAATACGGCGGAACTCGAGCTCGTGACCCTAGGGAGCGAGGCGCTGAGTCGGCACACACTACCCACCTCAGCCGTCCAAGCCAAGATTAGTAAAAAATGTAGTAATCACCCGAATAATAAAATAATAGTATGCTAAAATCTATTCCTGTGGCCAGGACAAAATCAATTTTTCTAAAAATGTACTCCCAAAATAATGAAAATTTTGTATCAAAGACGGGATAAAATAATTAAAATTCTTAGTGATGAATCTTTGCTAAAGAGGGTGAATTATATGTACTATTCCACTCGTGAAATTAACTCCAATAAAGTTGAACTCTACGTGTGAGAATCTTTCAGAGAATCCAATCAGGATCTGTAAAAATCTGTAATCCCAAACAATTATCGCTTTTTCTTGCTACCTGCGCCCTGCTAGGCCATCACATGATGCGAAACATAAATCATAGGAAGCGTTGTCATGTTCTCTTGGAGCATGAACAAAATTAAAATGTGGTGCATTCTGAAACTTTTAGGAGGTAATTTCATTCGAGAAATAGTCTTTTTAAAATAGACTTTTCGATAAATTTCAATGAAATTGTGGTTTTGCCTATGAAAATCTTACTTATTATCAGACAAATAATTGTAGTTTTTTTTGTTTGCTTCTTTAGTCATCTCCCAAATCTGATGAATTATTCGTCACCACACCGTCTCTTTCCGCGGCCATTTTCTTAGGACTAAAAAATCGAACAGCAAAACCCATACTTGCAAACGGAGGTTTATGCTACTCTATCAACATGCTAACAGGATCTGCAATTTTTGCTAATAATACGTAAGTATGATTCTAAATATTTATAATAAGTTTATTCTTGTTGGTATTACTTCGAATGATCAGCAAGTAAACAGTAAGACTTAGTAATTGCGGCAGAGAATGAGGCAACTACGTAAATTGATGTCTATAACAAGCACCATATGTGCGCAAAGCTTAAAAAAACTCTTTACTAGAGTAAAAATAGGGTTTAATAATTTACAATTACTAATGTAAAATTATTATATTAAATTTTGTAGAAGATTAAGGTATAAACTCATTTTCGGCAAAAGCAAGACTATTGAATTTACAGGAGAAGCACAAGATGTACAATCTAAATTGGAAAATTTCAATTAAATTTGTACCCAAGTTATATTTTTTAAATAATTTCATTGCTTTTTAGTATCAAGAGTTATTTCTGTAATTAAAAATAATTGTAATATAATTTGTTTTCACAAAAATAGAAGGCATAAGGGTGAACCTTCTCAGAAGCATCCCAAAGAGGCTATTTAAGTTAAAACCCACGTAGTCAACTAGGTATATTTGAATCAGGATAAAAATTTCGGTAAGCGTAAGTGTCTCTAATATAATATAGTTTGCAATAAATATTAAGAAATGTTCGAAATCAGTCATGAAACAGCTCTTGAGGGCCATTATTGCAAACTAATTTTGCCAAACAGACAATTGAATTACACGAAGGAATTATGATTAATGTAAATGTGTGTGCTTCATTTGCCGGGAAAAACTATATTTTTCTATTCCCATTGTACTACAATTCTCTTTGTAGATGGCTCGACTCGTTGCATAATGATAGTCATTATAATAGAACTTCATTATAGTATAGTTGTTTGACCAACCACAGAGAAGTTAACAGTTGAGAAATGATCATTGTTCGCCGTTCATTTCGTTAGATTGTGTACCAGACCCACAGGGAGTAACGATAAATCGCACATGCCCTTCCGTTTCCAAAACGAAAAAGAATGATAATACTAAAGCTGTTCACAGAGACAGAAGTGTGAACTCATAATTAAACAGGTTTGAAAAAATTATTTAAAAAGTTTTATATTCGCCAAGATCTATAAAATTATATTGTGGCGGATTACAGGAAAAAATCAGGCACCTTAACATGAAAATGTAATTCATCACGTATAATTATAATAATTGAATTTTTTGTAAAGGGACAAGTGTGTCAGACGATTGCTGCGCACTGCGTTCCTGTACTCTCTTTTTTGCGTGTAAAAACACTCAATCTTCAAATTTAAAAACCTTGCTAACATCGCTTCGCTTTCTTTAAACAGACTGCACACGTGCTCGCGCTAAACGAGGAAAGGTTGGCCGCTTTCGATTGCAACTCACGCAAAAAAAGTATTATGAATAAACGACGTCAAATAATCGATCCTTCTGACACTTTTAAGATATCATTAAAATTTAGTGTTAAAACATCTTTATAAGACCAAGTGATAACACATCTAAGACGTAATGTCTTTAATTTGAAGAAAAATCAGGAATGGAAAGCACAATCTTTTTTTCTAAACGAAAACTCTTATTTTTCAAATTTACTAAACGATGTTTATCCAGAAAATTAGTTTTGTGAGATTATCAACAAAAAGAAAACACAGTTTCGTAATAGTAGTTTATGCAATTAGTTTATAATATTAAGCTTTATTGCCTTTCTACGAGTTTTAAAAACGAGCGACTTTAGGTGCGCATTTCCAAATGTGTACGAATGTAATTAAGCATCATTATAAACGAGTTACATACATTACACAGTTAGTATGTAACTGTATATAACAGCATTACATTTACAAGAGAATCAAACCTAATTTTGTCAAACAACTTCCCTGTGATGACTCGGCTATTTGACATCGTGCAAGTTAACTGTGGTCGGCTGTTCCGTTTAGCTCTACCTCCTCCCGATTCTCTCGCTACGATTGGATGAATGTATGATAACGCAATCATTCGTGACAAAATCTAATACGTCACCATTTGTGCGTAAAATGCCCAATTATGAACGATTTCTTGCAACAGAAAAGGTTCTTTTATAATGCTGAAATACAAAAAAAAAATATTGTAGGAGATTCGGCACATTTTCCACCATTTTTTCAAGTAATCATATCCTGATTCGAGACATTTGCCCAATCGTAGGATTAACTTTGTATATCTACATCGAATTAGTTCGTCGCCTGTGATAGGTGCCAGTGTTTGCAGTGTTTGTTTACAGCCATCGGCATTTCTGCGTCGATACAAGTAATGCTGCGATAATGATACATGTAATGATGGCAGGACAGGAATTTCTTGAGGTGTGAGAAAAAATGGAAATCGCTAGAATGCGACGTAGGCAGTACAGGGTGAATGGTCAAACACTTCCTAGTGAGCTGCTACAGAAGACTGTTTTGTGCCGAGTTGTGTCACAACCCTACGACCATTCACCTTACGACCTTACAGTGTAACATGCTCTGTATACACAGTTACAATAAAGTTTGCCATGGAATGAGTTTTTGTTTCTGTTGAACACCTAAGAAAGCGTACGTTCTGTACGCGCCTCATAGATGAGGCCACGATGGCACAAGGGTCGGAGAGTCGTCGAAGAACCGGTCACTTCCATCCTCGTAGCGTGGCATGGCGTGGCGTGCAGTGGCCTTTTCTTTGGGTGTGTAAGTCGTGTGTCAACGCCCAAGGAAATAAAAAAAAACCTTTAAGTTAATTAATTTTTTTATATCTATTCGGTCTTGGGATCGGCGTCAGAGATCGGCACCAGCGCGTCCATGCAACGCAGGAAGAGCGCGGGCGCTGTTAAGGCCGCTGGCAAATGCCTCCGACGCCTTCAGGATGGATCGGGAGGCGGCAGCGCATGCGCGCGACGACCCCCACTCGAGGGAGAAGCATACGAAGGCGTTGGATCTCGATTCAACGGACTGATACTTTTATAATAGTGAACGATCTTTCACTCATTGTTCAAAATTTTAATTTAAAAATAAATCAGATTTTTGTTTATATAATTTAATTTTTACTCCAAATATGAAAGAGAAAAGAGAAGTGTGGAAGTTAACACTTTCCTTCACTGCCAACGCCCTACGGCCAGAATGAGGAGACGCCACTAGTGGTATGAGTGATTTCCCCACGCGGCGGTTGTGCTGGCACGCGACATGGTGCAATGTCAACATCCATTGTATCTCTAGCTTCGTTGACCATATTATCGAATCTCAATGGTGGCTGATTTTCGTCACGAGCTACTTAGCTGGGTCGAATTGAACCACCGCATTGGCTGTAGGAGAATTCTATTTGCCGACTGCTCTGATCGATAGTGCCCAGTGGTTTCTCCCACCAATAGCAGGAAAATTCTGGCGTTCTAACTTAAAAACGGGCCATGGTTTGCGTATGTCATTTGCTTCGTCATCCTTGTCAACTCCTTTCCTTACACACACACACACACACACACACATGGAGCCCAGAACTTATAACTTGTGCCACAGGAGGAAAATTTCTGAAGTTTAAAATCATTGCAAGCCGACTTGCAGGTCGTTACCGGAACTCATATTCCAGTGGAAGGAGAACACCGCCATATCCCGCGATATAACATGCACTGCACTTAGGGGAGTAGTGACGACAGACGACGATCCCGATAACACGAAACACTCACCCTGTTTATCACGAAACCCCTCTGTACACCATCCAATTCATTAGCAAATATATGTCCGACATGTAGTGGAAGTGAATTTGATCTAGAAAACGGGATCTAGTGTGCACTGTGCTCTGAAAACGGAAAGGTGAAAGTAAATGCGTTATCCACCTTCCTCGCCTTCGCTCAAGAATCAGTAAATGGCGATTATCACATTATCAAACTAACTACATACTTGGCTAGAATGTTTTCTAAGATTGTCATGAAACTTGGCTATTTACCTTTTTCAGGTTTCATAGATCAGAAAAATATTTAGATTACAAGGAAATTGTCAACTGGCACATAGAGAAGGGGTACACATCGAAGAATTCACCAAACTACCCTAAGCCAGCTCTTGGTTCAGGAGGCGAAGCTGGAATGTTAATATTGTTGAAGAATGAAGCTGCATTCAGTATATCAAAAGCGTGCACTTTTGTTCACGGCTTTGAGGTAATATAAAAATTTATTACCCCTCTCTTTTCCATTCAATGTTACTCGGCCTCTTCTTCAGAGTGTCCAGGTTTAAATTTCAGCAGTGAACCATTTTTTAAGATACAACGGAAATAAAGGAAACCGTTTAACATTGTAATCTTGTTTACATTAAGCATTTTAACAATGGAGTGTTGCAAATCGTCTAAACCCATTATCGTAACAGTTGATTCACAGTCCATTTCTAATAATTTCCTTTCTGTATCATCAGTTGAATATACTTATATATTTTCTTATTTTCCAACAATATCCGGGAAATAAAATCAACATTTAAGTGTAATGTCGGCATAAAAGTGAAATTCCCAAAGTCCAAAACCTTATTTTCAGGTAAATCTAGTTGAAGTTACTTTTTTTAAAATTTGTTTACTCTTTTTTTTGTTAGGAAATCAAATCGGTTATCTTTTACTCACACTTTATTATGTATCTAGCTGAACCCGTTTTGAAAAATCACTTCATAATATAGTTACTTGTTGAGTTCCAAATTCGGAAAATAAATTATCAATAAGAACATTTTCGCAGCAATATAATTTTAAGATAATAAAAGAACAGTAAACATTAATAAGTAAATGTTTTTTCAAAACTTTCACTCTGCTCCCTGTCCTTAACATTCAGTCTAAATCTCAATACAGCATACCGACGTATCAGATCCATATTTTCCAAAGACTAATTCAAACCTCCATACTATGAACTGTTAATTGAATTAATACTGAAACGACTTTCAACAAAGCTTAATTTAACTTAGATCAATGAGAGCCATTTTGTCGACTTTTGAAAATTACGTAAAAAAGATTTTCTCAAATTGCAAATTTTTCTTATTTTCTTAAATACACTTCGTTCAATTTTCAGTAAAACTTCGGAATTTTGAGAAATGTCAAATGTTTAAATTTTAATGAATTTACGTCTGTTATCTTGTTTATTCTATTGCAATGGGTTTATAAAGTATTATTGTAACAATGTTTAGACGTTTCGACCCTATTTGGAGTCTCGTAATATGCTGAGTCTGTTTTATTAAGGTCAAAAACTCGTTGTAATTTAAATGGTTAACTTTTTTAAAGCATTTGGAAGTGATTGTGCCTGCGCAGACAATATAGAGGTGGGTAAATTGCTATGTAAAGCCTAAGTATCTGAGTTCATCCCACCATGATTGAACACTTCCAGGTAGGGAACACTTTTGCGGATTCAAGTAGTGCTATATTAGTAAGTAACCGTTACAAATAATGCCAGAAAGTACTTGCGTGTAGCACTAATCCGTTTCTGACATACTACTTGTTAATAAAGGGAGCTGTATAGTGCTGAATCGAAAAGCGAACATTTTTAGGCAGAAAAATTCGTATTATAGGTGCCAGATTCCAAACAGTGGATAATTCTTGTTCCTGTATGTGTTTAATAATTTCCTATTTTTTATCTTCTCGATCGAAAACCATTGTCTGTTGAGAAGGTTAATTACACAATTCACAATTTGTAGCTTTCTGAGAATGGCCTCTCGGAAACGAAAATGTGTCCTGTGCCATTTCTTTGAGCTATTCACGATATCTGAAGACAAAGTTTAATCCAAAAATTCGGTACCATGTTTGAAAAAAAATTGAAAATGTTTAGGCTTGAAAATGTTAAGGTACCTCCAAAATAAAAATAAAAACATCAGTCAGATCGATTCAGGAATATCAACTTTGGAGAAAATGTGCCGAAAAGTTCACGCGCTAGCGTTGTCTACGGACCGACAGACACCTTTTGCCGTCATTCGATTTTTCGGTATCAAGGACTCACAATATATATATTTTGACAGTACAACATATAACAGGAAGTAATTTACTGAATATATAGGAACAAGATTTGTCCACATTTTTGTTACCAGGGACAGGCAATAAGAGGTTTCTGACGAAAATTTGCCGCGTTCCGGCGCACAATTACAATATTTTCTCATCGTACGATGAAAGGGTGAGAGAGTAGAAACATGAAAAATGGACTTAATGAGTTTGTTGTATGCCGATGGCGTATTCCAAGAGAAATACTGCGATGGTAACTTTCAGTGAATGAATATACAAACTTTGCTGCGTCGTCATTAATAAGCACTAATATCTCTTCAAAGATCTTTAAAATGCAATTTCAAAATAAACGTAGTCTTCTCTGCAGCAGAGGGAATTTAGAACATTTCTGAGAATGCTACACCGACAACAGTCTATATCCACATAGGCGGACACTTACATTAAGTAAATTGGATTGAAGATTATTTTGTTTTTCTTCTTGTATGTAGGTACAAGTGCATAATCCCGTCGATTTTCCTGGGGGAGGACAGAAATATTATGCGCCTCTTAACAGCATGGTGCAAGTGTTTGTCACGCCAGAAGAAGTGATCACAGACGATTTGAGAAGTTACACACCAGAACAACGTCAATGCTATTATTCTGATGAACGAAAACTCAAGTTCTTTAACGTTTACTCTCAGACCAACTGTGAACTGGAATGTCTCTCTGAAGAGTCATTAAAATCTTGTAATTGTGTTGAATACTATTTGCCACGTAAGTACATCGAGAAATAAAAGAAATATTTAGCCAAGAAATGAGATTATTGTTACGATTAACTCGCGTAAGAGCTAAATTCACAATAATATAGCCACTCTCCTCGTTATAAATAATAATTAATACATATTAGATTGTATTGACTCTGGTATCTATATTATATAGCATCTATACAAAAATTATTTTATATGCATTGAGTTATCAAAAGTAAATTATAGTGTTGCGAAAATCTTTATATCAGGACCAAGCTTCCATGTAATCATTTTTTTCTATTGAAAACAATAGTAATTTCGACAAGAAATCAAATTAAGGTTTATCAATGAAAATGACACAACACATCTGTTCCAGATAGTTTTAGTCGAAAGGAAGAAAAAATAGTATCACGAAAGATAATTTGCACTTTTGGGTATTTTGTAAATTGTAATTTTATTAGAAATTCAGAAAAATTATTTTTACTTTACAGGCAATTTTCTACAAATTGTTGCAATAGCAAACGTTAATGTTATCCATACCTTTTTCTAAGTACAAACGCAACAAACGTACCATCAACTTCTAATATGTGCTTATTTATGTCTGATTAACGTTTAAAAGTTCAAACAGTTTTTTTACAATATCATTTCACAATTAATTCGATTATTCTCTAATAAAACAATCGATTTCTAGCATTTTGTTGAAAGCTGATGTTATTTACGCTGCATTGTCTACCAATCATTGATTTTTTTTTATTTTAGGTCACAAAGATACCCCAGTATGTCTCAAAAAGAAACAAATCAGATGCAGTGGTTTAGTAAAAGGTAAGTAGTACTTACGTTCTAGTAACTACTGAATAAAAAAGAATGATTTCGTTTAAATTTTAAATTCAAGGGGGGGGGGAATATCAATTTTATAACAATGATTACATATCATGTACGTTTGAAATGAAACATAATTCGACTGATTACTTCCAACACGAAACACAGACGTCAGAAAAATATACCTGTTATGGGTATTCTTGGGTAAGGTGTTATTTAGTAAGGCAACTGTGAAAATTACATCTGTGAAACTATATACGTTCTTACAAATTGATTGAACGTGCGCCTATCTGGGAGAATTCGTCTAGTCGAAAACGGCCCTCATGGACGGAAAATTTGACGATACATCTAACTCTCATCCACTCATTGTTGAACGCACACGAAACAAACCTTATTTCGGAGCGCCACAACTCCCATGTCAAAGGAGCTGATAGTATGAACAGGAATTAGAGCGTGCAAAGGAAAATCATATTTTCGTAGGCAGACCTTACATCAGCTTAAAACTCTCGAAACGTTTTGTGTAAACATTCCGCGGCTGCAGTAAGAATCTACTTGGCTGTTCGGGAGACGTCGTCGGGTTTTAGGTACAGATGTCAACGTTTCAAACGCCATGTTGCGACCTTCTTCAGGGTGAAATGCCGAGAAGGTAGGGAATCATGGATTATTGGGCAATTATGTAGACACTTCACTTTTCTGTTTTTCTCATTGTGATCGATATTTCATTTTTGTAAAGTTCGACATTAAGTAACCAAAGTGGATAAGTATCATTATCTTCGTCGTATTTGCATGAGTAAAATACGAAATTTTAGAAAGTTTCCCGTTAGGTTACGTGAGGCTAAATAGTTTATTCGTAGTTACAAAGAGCGGCTCTTTGCGGCCTTTCCTTGTGGCCACAAGAGTTGTTTGTCGTCCCGAACGCCCACGAGAGTAATTAAAATTAACAGTGCTCCACATTTTCAAGTAATATTAATATTAAGTACACAACATTATAATAGTTTTTAAATCCGCCAAAAAGCAATCTGTTTTCAATCCGCAAAAAATGTTCTACTTGCCAAAATATATAAGAACATGTCCGTTGAAATCTCGTAATCGATTTTCCGCAGCAGTTTTCTCTATACGTCGTATATCACTCAATATATACGTACGTATGCGAGAAAGAAATACTACGTATTTCGTATATACATATATGAAAAATTAAAAATCAAAATTGTGTCAATATCTCTAAAATTAAAAATGTTACAATCAAAAAAACGAAATATTTAATTTCCTCCATCTACAACAACATAGAATATACCGCATCCCGGTAACTCAAAACGTTTTTTAAATATCTGCTGTGACAAACATAGGTGTCTCACGGAGGTGTACTGGAGAAGAAAATTATGAAATTTTAATGAATCAGTTGTAGGGAGAACAAATATAAGAGTTTTTCTACAGATGTAAAAGCATTTAGGTATGTTTCAAATATATCGCGACAGATGTTCGTCGTATTTTGTATCTATGTTGCACCACTGTAGTACTCAAACTTGAAATTAAGAAACTGAAAAATAAATTGTGTGAAATTTTGCCACAGTTTCTGCAGATGGATGATATTTTTTACTTATTTACTTCCTATTCGACATGTGTCTTTTGGGGAGGGAGGTTTATAGATACTAGAATACAATTACATTGAATTTCTTTAGATTCATCCTCAGGCGAATGCGGGCCTGAGCTCAAATTTAGTATTTCATAAGCATTCCTTTACTATCCTTAATTGGCATATTGTGGTCAAGAAATAAAAAGAGACAGTTTGTGACAGAAGAAACGTAATTTCATACTTTGTAGAAGTGGAAGAGATCTTTGAAGAATCTGGATCTGATACGCAAAGGAATATGTGCATTCTGACGAAGATTGAAGTGCTGGGATATGACTGGCCAAGACAATATAAATTTTGTGGGTTTTGTGAAACAAATTCGAAAAATGATGGTACTTGAATGTCATGAAAGAAAAAGTCTTTCACAACATAGGTATTATATTATATTTGCTTCAAATTTTAACTGGACCTGTTTTAGGGATTCACGTTAGGGCTTTCGCACAGTCAGAGGTTTTTGAAGCTAAAACAAATTCAACTCACCCGTCCAGGATAGCCGAGATCACTAACGCTAAAGAGGCGTAGCTGCGTCATGCCTGAAGAGTCGCGGGTTCGAATCACGCCCGGGGCATGGATGTTTGTGTTGGTCCGTAAATCATCACTGATACTCAAAAGTTACTTAGAGTGGTCACTATGTGACATTAGTAGTTGAAAAGCGACATTAAATATGTGAAAATAAAAATAATAAAAAATCGAATTAAAATATGGTAATATAACAGAAATTTAGAAATGACATTTTACATACAAATATTTGTTTGAAAACAAATTCCATTAATTTTTAAAAAGTAATTAGAAATATGAAAAAGCTTCGTTATAAAACACTAAAATGAGTTACTCAAGTAAAGTGGGAATAAATTCATACACAAAACTGCATCTAAACATTTTGAGGAATATATTCTTACGGTTTGAAAAGTGGAAGGCAATGGATGATGGAGCCAATATGCAGTGAGAGGAGGAGAGAGGCTTGATTTACAAACAAGTCCAATATGATACCACTACTCCTTTCCGCCAGAGTGAAGCGAAGCTGCATTGATTATTTTAAGGAAAAGAAGTTGAGGAGGGAATTGAATGCATGCTCGCCAACAAGACATTTTATTATCGTACCAACACTTTAGTCTAAAGATTTCCGTGTATGTGCAAGATCGCTTTAAGCTTCTTGAAGTCACAAACTATAATATTTACGAGCACACCTCTCTACCGATTTAATAAATGAAAAAAGTTGTTTTCCTCTGCTACACCATTCAACTCGATAAACGCTAAATCACGCTAAATACCTTAAATTTTTACCGGACAAAAGAGCGTTATGAATAATTTACTCATTAATATCGAATTTATATTTCTTTCTTTACAGAGGAGATTGCTTCCGCTTCAGGAATGACTAGAGAGGACGTACATCGTCCTGAGTCAGGAATTAACTGCAAATGCCTACCCAGTTGCAGTCATGTGCGTTATCGTTACCATGCAGTTCACACTCCAATGGAACGAAAACAACTGGAAGAAATATACAGGGAAATGCATGAAGTGACGTAAGTGCATGTGTTTTTTATTATTTCTTTTTATAAAATAATAGATATATCACAATTATTTAAAGCTCAATTTTTATTAACATTATCAGAAAATTGAAATTATTTTGTTGAAATGTATGAGCATATGTAAAGTCTGGTAAAAAGTAGGCCATAAAGAGAAAAAAAGGAAGTTGTTTTGTTTTATAATCTTGTTTACAAGTAATTTCTCTATTATTCATATGAAATATACTCAACATTTTCCGTGAATCTTTTTACTTCGTAAATATTTTATCTTACCACCGGTTGTCATAAATTGCCTCCACACTGTCATTTTTTTGGGAAGCAATTGCGCCGGAAGTATGTATCACGTGACATGACCTTGTTTCAAACACTTTTCAACAAATTTTATAATAATTAATAATTAAATATGTTAAAATATGTCTCCCCGTTCAGCAATCGAACTCGGGTCTGCTGATCAGAGTAACTGAGCAGGAGCTGGGTATGATTCCCAATTGTGGTGACAAGTATTTGAATAACTTCAATTAGTTTATTACTACAATCAGCATATTGAAAAGTTACTCCATTCTCAAAATACAATGTTTTCTTTAGAAAAAGATTCGAAAACTATATTTTAATATTTCATCCCGGAATATTCCTCAATACTACTGGATAAGTACATTTTTCATTGTGATCCAACGCGAATATTTGGAAAAAATGGAGGCTTTTCGGAAGAACTACTAGTAGGTAACTGACATTTTATGTTTCACATGAAAATACAATGTGAAGCCCCGCTTTTACATGTAACGGGAAGCATATGCCAAACTCCAGGAGGAAATTAGCACTGCCCGTTCTTGAAATATCTTGAAGTATAGAGTTGTTCCCTTTTCTTCTCAAAGGTCAATAATTTGGATTGTGCCCAAAGTGTGAGATTTCACTGTTTCCACCGGAAAGCTCCAACTGCATTCAATGCATGTCTATTATATCTGTTTTAGTACGATGTATGCGAACTAGTATATTCATATATATAAATCGTTTCATTTCAATATTTTTATTAAATATTCGGGAACGCTCTAAAATCCTACCATAACTCGACAAGATAATTGTTGGGTTTTTCCATTGTCATATTTTAGAAGTTAAAATTACACTCTGAATAGTTTTTTCACTTCTAATATTTCTTATTAATGATAACCTTGAAAAACTACACACCAATTTTATTTGATTTGTTTCATTTTCAGGGATTATGAAGACTGTGATTTTACGATTATTCAAGTATTATTCACTGAATCTCTCTTCATACCATTTCGGCGATTGGAATTGTATGGCACAGTTGAATTTCTGGGTATGTTATGAAAAAAGATTCGTATATTTACATAATCTTCCTTAAAACTGTTCGTAATACAAATGAAATGTTAATGCAACTTCATAATTTACCATTATTCTTCGTGAACTTAATTGGCATCACATCACTGGCTTTCAATCTGAGAATGAGAAACTAATACTATAGAATGGCATAGACTTCGTCGTACTAGTTAGTTTCTTAATATCTTTAGTCTGGACTAGTTTTTCGGTTTTGTCTCACCCTCCTCCCAGCCGGGCAGCGAGAGGCTACCTATTGGTACCAAAAAGACACTTTTTCACATTTTTGGTCCTCTAATTATACAAATTAAAAATGACTAAGATGATTATACATGCTTAAAACATATATATATATATATATATATATATATATATATATATATATATATATATATATATATATATAACTGTGTATGTGTGTGGGTGTTTGTATATGAGAACGTAAATTGGGTGTGACCTGCAATGCGCTAAGGGGGCCGCAATGTTAGCAGCACCTGGCCTCTACCACACCTCTCTACCCGCAAGTTCGCCACAGGCTATGTACCCCTACCGGCAGGAGGCAGTTCTAGACCAGAATGGGCGCTGTTTAGATTTACTCGTATTATCACAGCAGGCAGCATCAACTAATAATAGAAAAGTTAAATATTTGAAGAAATATTTGATGATAAACACAATTCTGAATTTTCCGGAAACTGAATTGTTAATGTAATTTCTACGGTTTAAGAGCTTTCAGTTGCATAGTAATAATAAAATCTCGAAAGTATATAATGGGAAGTACATGTACTTGTAAGTATATATATATATATATATATATATATATATATATATATATATATATATATATATAGTCACTTTCAGATGGATTAAACAAAAATTCTGCGAGATAAGCTATTAGCTACGTTCATAAATGCAAAAATATTATAAGAAAAAGTTCAAAGAATATTTCGCAATGTTAATAATTATTTGTAGTATTCCATAGGCATACACATGCTTGTGTATTTTAAATACTTGAAAACATAACAGATCAGGAAAAATAAGAAATGAAGTTAAAAAGTATTCATAGGATTGGAAAGTTCCGTCTGAAGAAAAAAACGAATTTTCCTATTGTGATACATCAAATATTGTTTAATATCTGAAAAATTCCAAAATTCTACTCGAAATTTTTGAAAACGGTAATATTTTCTTCTCAAATTATCTTCTGATCACAAAACTTAAATAAGTGAAACATAATACAAATTATTAATATACAAATTAATAAAAAATAAGCAAAATAAAATTAATAATTGATTTAATTTAGTACGTTTTATCTTCACTTTATTTTGAACATTTGTCTAAATTTTTCTTCATTTTCATTCCTTTGTTTCATTTTCACTGTTGTTTGTTGTATGTTATTTTGTCCTGTTATCCTGTTTGTTATTTTCAAAAGGAATACTTTCTTTTTATTTTTCTCCGTATTTTTTCCTCAAGCTGTATTATTTATTTGCCTACTCATTGAAATGAGGCGTTTTCAATCAAAACCAGTTCTTCCCATGTTCTTTTTGTCTAATGTCACGTTTTTGCTTATTTGAATTTTTACTCATTTTAGGTAGACATACCTAACCTTCCGTAGGAATATGTACCAAATTCATCGTATCCTCCACCTAAAATGTAGCCTAACCGTAACTCTATTATAATACCTGGAATGTCTGTGAGATTTGTCTTTCTCTTGTAATATCTTCGCAAATGGAATGGTCTGGTTTTAATATAAAACTCCTCAAAAATGGTGTACTTTCTGAAACATGACCCTTTTGCAGCAAACTGTGGAGGCGTACTGGGACTGTGCTTAGGTGTCAGCGTTCTCAGCATCATCGAGATCCTCTACTGGTTGCTGGTGCGGCCATTTTTTCGGGCGCCTCCAAACCGAAGTGAACCCAAGGAAGCGGAGTCAGCAAACCTTACGGCCCTCTGAAGAGCGAACAGATCTGCACCCCAGAACTCAAGACCTGATTCATTTTGTAATTTACTTCTCCTAGAACTTTTACAACTGGATTTTCAATATTTTTGATCACATGTTCTCAAGCACCAAGAATATATTATTATTTGGAAAGATAAATATTTTGTCAGAGTTTGTCATTATTTTAGAACCAACTCAACATTCAGTGTTTATTATACACATGCACGGGGAATCCAAAGTGTACATTTGTTCGTGAATTCCCGATAAATAAATTATACCTATTCTTCTTATAGAAGATTATGTCTTTGCTTCATAAATTTATTCTACATCAACACTATTACAAAAGCACCGCACGTGGGTCTTCAAAACCAAGCGAGGGTTGAGAGTTTGCTCTTTGTTGTCCAGTCAGCAATTTAACCAAAGGGAGATTTTCTTATATCTTATGTGCTCATGCTTCAGTGTTGTTTATTAGAAACTTAGTAATTGTGAGTTATTATAAGTATTATGTGTGTATTATCGCCAGTTGAAGATGCAAGATAATCCAGTATCTGGCTACATATCAAATCTATCTATTAAAATAATATCACGCATACACAATAATATCTTAAGTACAAAGTTGAAATTAATAACAAGCACCATGGTCTGATTGTTATATTTTATTCTTGGTGAAAAAGCATTTCTTTATCGCAAATCAGTGCAAAAACTGGCAGTTACTTGGCTTAATATAAAAATTTCGGTAACAAAAATATAATGAGCAGAGCCTCTGTCGAAATCTGATACATCATCTGTAATTATAATTTATAATTTTAGAATTATTAATAAGGATACCGGTCGTCGAGATCGTGTACAAAAGTGTAGAGTCCGCTCTGAACTATCTGAATTAACTATTCATTCAGGAGCATACGTTTATGTGAACATTTGATATATCATTTTACTCACGTGACACTTTTCGATATTTTTCGGTTGAATCCTGATTCTCTCTTCTTAATAGTAATTATGCAACTAGATTATGATAATCTTTATTTCAGATTTATACGAATGCATTAAAGCAACATTACGAGCTCTATACGTTATTTGTTTGCATAACAGCATTACAAATGTATAAGAGAATCGAAGGTAATTTTTGAAAACTATTTTTATGACTTCACACATATTTGAAAATTGTGCGAATAAACGGTGATCGGGTGTGCGGTTTACGGCCATTTCCCACGTTTACTCGCTGCGATTGGCTGAATGTGAGACGACGCTATCATTTGTGTGGTAAACGCCATTTTATAAACGATTTCTTTCAATGAATAATGTCGAAATAATGCTGGTATTCAAAAAAATAAGATATTATTAGAAATATCAGAATGAGTTCTTAACTTAGAAACCATGCCAACTTGAACATTTCAGCATTTCTGTTTTTTTAATATACGCCTTTTCACTCTTTCCGTTTTATAATTCGTGACGTCCTTGAGTTTCATATCATTACAAAAACAATCTGTTTAATAATCATCTGATCAAATGGTAACATATGTAAATAATTCTTAGTTATAAATTACAACTTGGAATGTCATTTTGTAAAATTTGGAATAAACGTTTACTGTAAGTTTTTTTAAATCATTAAATATCCTTATTTCCCAAAATACTATTTATGTGTAAGTACGGAAGGTGACCCAATTTTTAGCCACAGGACTGAGATTTTTTGTGTTTTGTAGTTTAACTGCATTTTTCTAACAAATTATTGGTTTTTGGTCTCATTTTTGTCCATAAGAGTGTATTATTAAGGCCATAAAAGCAATAAGATATTAGGTAAAACTTATTTTTTGTAAAATTAATACTAATATTTAGTGATGCGACCCTTCGATACAATTATAGCTTCAAAGTGTTGCGGTATTGTCTCTATAAAGGCTTTTCATTTTGTTGCAGTTCTATGTTGTGATGCTATCCTTTGCTGAGTATTTTAATTGACTGGTTCTTGGTTGTAATGACTTGCTTGGCCATTGGTCGTTTGGTAAGTTTCCACAGAGAGTTCCCACATGAGTTCTCCATAGGGTTCATGTCTGATGAGTTCGCCGGCCAGGGCAAAATGGTAATATATTTGTACCAGGAATGTATTATTACTCCTGGCTTTGTGGCGCAGTGCTGTTTATAAAAAATATATACTTAATAACCAAGGAACCATTCTTTGAACTTCTATCTATAGCAGTAGCAGTTTCTAGTACTCACTTGCACTGGACTTACCTGATGGTCCGTTCTATAATGTTAGACGCCCCATATACCCTTCTTTGTGATCACAGACCCCACCATGACACTAACACTCTATTAGATAGTTTGAATGGAACTCAACCCCAGGACGTCGTCGGATAAATAAACTTAACTCGACCAAAATCTAAAACATTGATTTGTCATAGAAGCGTACCTGTAAAATATTACAAAAATCAATATCGATGAAATGTACTAATGTTTAAATATATAAAAAGTTTGTATTGCTCGTCTCCAGTCTGCAACAGTCACATTTCTGTGTTATCTGGCCCATTGCAGTTGCATCTTCTTCATGACCTGGATGAGGCGTGGTTTTTTGATAGGACGACCGCCGTTCTCTTTTGCTAACCGTCTCTGTACTGTACTTTTGGGAACTCTTACACCCTTTCCGTTTATCATCGTAGTCAGAAGAGAAACACTCTTTTTACGATTTTTGAGACAGATATCCGTGATTCTACGATCGGTACGAAGACTGGTAAACCTTTTCCAGCCCTATTTATCCACACGGCCTGCTTTCAGGGGTTTCCTGTGATCAATTTTTATTTTTATTCTGTTAACGACAGTTTTTGAAACACCTGGAATTGATTTATCTTACCATACCAAGTCTTACCACACTAAAAAATAAAAACTCGAGGTTGTAACGTTACGTTGTAAACTGAAATGATATTCGCACATAAAATTGAGTAAGTAAGAAACAATATTTACGTTTTAATTATTTTTGGAAAGGAAAAACTTGTAAGAAACAACTAAAAGAATAATTTGAATTACCTACATGTATATGAATGAAAAAGTATTTGACAGCAGCAGTTTTCAACAAACCTTAACAGAATGAGATGTAATATCACTTATTTCTTAAATAGCGCAGGTATTCAGTGTTGTCACTTATTAAAAACAGTTATATACCGCAGCGTCATATTCTGCTTAGTTGCAGATCCCTTTATTTCAATACGCATGGCTGAACCAGTTTTTTGACTCTTCAGTGTATAATAGTCTATTTCATTGATTAGAAGTCAAGCCGCATTGCTACTGGCCTCTGACGGAATATATTAGAAACCATGTGCTCTTCGCGAGAGGCCAAAAATAAATAGTGAATCTCCCAACATAATATTTAAATTATTTATTTTCCACATTTCTTTTGTATTAATCTTTACCAACTTTGCAATGACACTGTGACAATCCTAAAAAAAGAAACTGTAAAAATGTATGCCTTCCAGTTCAGCACAATTCCAATAAAATAAACTATTTTACTTGTATATTACAATATTAAATTTTGATTCGGTGATCTATGTGTACTGACTTTTAATTTATCCTACAGGAATTTATCCTGAAGGAACCCCACTCTAAGCCTGTAAGTAGTCGCACTTCAGCATGTAGCATTCAACCATATTGCATCTGCTATACATATTTACCTATGTTTTAAAAAACACTGTTTCAGAAACATGTACTGTTCTACGCGAGAAAAATATTTATCAAAAAATTGTAATTTTTCAATGTTACGTCAGATTAAACGGGATGAAATCTAGTGAAAAATGTATAAATATTTTTAGGTTACTTTCAAAATGGACGAATAAATATTCTAGAATTTCAAGGGAGATGATCTAAAGATACTGAAAGATGATATTTAATTATTAAGGTTCTTGTCATGTTTTACGTCATTGATGGAGGTAGATGCCATAAGTTACCATGAGTTATGATATTACCATGAGTTGCCGAACTTGTGATACTTTAACACTCCATAATTCGCGTAAGTATTTCTGAAATGGAGACAGATATACAGCAATTTTTTGTTACTGATGAAAAGGACATAAAAAACTTACTTACATGTATGTGGTAAGTTTGTGAGGTGTAGTTGGCGTAAACATTACGTATACAAAAAACAAGTCGCCTTTAGCAACATTATCGTTTGTAAAACCAAAACCAGTGGCGCCTTTTGCTCGTGCTCACTGGTGATGGTGATGGGGAAGTTGGAAATCTAATCCCGCCGGGCGCCGGGAATTTGCATGATGCGTTTAGCATCTGCGAGTTTGCAGCGCCTGTCGGAAACGAAATCGCCTCATTTGGATTGTTTCCGTCTCTAGACTTCCCTGGTCATTTCCAGGAAAATGCCGGAGCACCACCCTAGAAAATGGGCCACGGGACCTCCTTCCTGCCCTGTCCGGACCTGTCTTCCCTTGTTCTTCTTAGCCCTGCCCTGCCCTCTCTTACGCTGCCTTGTCATATGCTGCCATGTCCTCTGACTTGTCCAATCCTGATCCGTCCGTTCCGGTCCTCTTCGGTCCCGTCCGGTCCCTGGTCTGTCTCTGATCCCCTCCCACAGTAATGTAGAAAAAGTCTCAAGCCGCGCGTCGAGAGTCGACGGCTGGGCCGTGCGCTAGGCCGCCCTGGAGGCGCCTCCATGGCTGCGACAGTGGCGCCCCCGCCCCAAGTCAACGGCCCGTCCACGCAGATGCTAGCCCCCGACGTTACAACCATATCATTTCGATAGGCGATCTTCAATGTTATTGAAGTAAGTAAACGCGCATCACCGTCACCAGTTATAGCCCACGCAGAACACGGCCTTTGTTTCCGCAGTGTTCCAGCATTAACATAATTTATGCCAATTGCCTAGTTGATAATAATGATGAAATTTTTATGGCGGTGTGCAACAATGCACCTAATATTACACGTCCTTAAACGTTGAACTCTACGGAACGAATAGCGAACAAGAAGGAACGGGACGGGGCGAGATAGAGCATGGCCCATGACGATGAGGTGTGAGTCTGGATGTAGTAAGAATGTACTACTGATAGTAATTATTATTTTTTCCTGACTAAGAGATAATCGCGTTAAAGACATTCCGACAACGATGTGTACTTCATCTATTTTAATTGTAATTTAATAAAACGTGAATAAGAATTTATATTTTGCATTCTCTCCTCACACTTCTTTAAAACATCAAAATTACTATAAAAAGATAACCCTACCCCAAAATTAAAAAAAAAATTCAACTTCCACGCCTAATACAATGAATATAAATATTCAAAACCCACAAAGGAAAGAAATGTCTCCAAAACAACCACACACATTTTTCAGATCAACTCAGTCATTCACTCTCAATCTCCAGTAAATCTGCAGGACAGACATTTTTTTATTTGGATTTATAAATTATTGTTTTGATTGTTCTCACCAAAACGGATGAGCCGGTTTTCTGTATTTGCGAGACATTTTTATAAAACAATAATACAATACAATTCGTCTTCCAGAATTAATTCCCCATAATTTCTCACGCGCGATCCAGCTGTAAAGCGGATTGTCTCGTGAATGCCAAGCAACACACGAGGTTACGCCCTAGGTACACAGCACACACAGGATGTTCCTCTCCTGCCCTGCGCGTGGCGAGGAGGCTAGTTCCGGCAGCGGCGCCTCTTCACGTATTTCCCGAAACTGCGACCGCAACTTCCAGCAACGCGGTTGTGAACAGCAGTTGGCGAAGCGGCGAGCGACGTTAGGTAACACACTCGTGCGTATTCAAGAAATTCCCGGGACGCTATGGTTGCAGATGGGTGAGTGATCTTCTTGATTCTCGGAGAAAATAGTGCAATGTGACGTCATGAGTTAAATACCGAAATATTTTCTTAGAAAAACTCAATAAATATACGATTTGTAGATGATCAATTTTCATAATGCACGGAAGGAAAATGTGCGTAAATTAAGATATTGTTAGCAGACAAGGAAAATGACATTATAAAATCGTCATTTTTTAATTCAATGAAGAAATACTTTATAGTGTGTTATTTCAGAAAAAATGTCATTAAAAAAAACTTTCCAGATATCCGGTAATAAATCTTTTGTTTTTGTCTGGGAAATTAACTGCTCCGCTCTGATAAAAACTGTTTCCTACAAAGTTGTAAAATATAGATACTTTCCCCTTGTACCGACATATTATTATTTCTTAAAACATTATTTGGCTTCTTTTCCTACTGTCCCATTCACTTTGCAACAACTCATAATATTACCAGCGGATTTCAACTTAAAAAATTGATTCGGCACAATTCAAGCTTGCAGATTTCACATAACTGAATCTACTGTAAATTAAGTATATTTTGGTCTATTTTTCATATATTTCATATATCTCAAAGGCATTCATCTAATGTTAAATTATTATTCGATTGTTTTAGAGACTCAAAATGGACCAAACAATACAAGAAGGAAATTCAAGAAAATTTTCAAGGTTATTTCGATAACACCACCGTACATGGTCTCAGGTACATCACCGAGCGTAGACGACCATGGCCAGAAAAGTAAGTTGTTGACAAAAATACAGTTAGGATATTTTCTGTCATTAATTAGTACGATAACACTGGCATTACATATTCATCAATACACAAATAGTGTCAAGAAATTCAACAAAATTGGAAGAACTATGATTTAGTTATAAATACGTACATAACAGACAACACAAAAAATGACAATCTGCAAATAAAGACCTTAGTTAATAATTAGTGGTGCTACGGAATGGCACAGACTTTCCCGTATTAGTTTTCTATTTCCTTTGGTCTCGCCTAGCTATTCGGACTTGCCACATACTTGCCAGCTGCCATCTTTCGCCGCTCAAATTATTTTTTTTAAATATTTTTATTCTTCCGCTTCTTAATAGAATGGAAATATTACTTTTAGAATATTAAAGAACAGTAAAACCTCGTCCTAAATGGCAATATTATTTGAAAAATTTAGAGCGATTGTTAAGAAATGGCGTTTAAGCGCTACTGTGAATTCGAAATTCGAATTTTCTCAGATATCTTTTGAGTTTTGGAAAAACTTAAAAGTCATTTGAAGCACATTAATTCACAAGTACAACAGTTATTATAAATTGCAGGAAATGCGCATATTAACAGCGTAAAAAGCCATTCAAAAAATTTAATTTGTGTAATTTTTTAAAAAACAAAAAGTATCCCAAAATAAACTTTTTGTCATATTAAAGAGTGTAACCGTTCAAAATCATTCCGTTCAAAAAGTTTGAAGAATAAATTTTGGACTTGTTTTTGAGAAAATTCTTGTGTGGATTTCTGCACTTTTTACTTTTGAGCAATTACTTTCGAATCCGATTGCTAACAAATTTCCCAAACAATTGAAAGCCAAGAAGAAACGAGTGAATTCCCTATCCCAAAATGGAACTTCGGAAGTGGTTACTCCACAAACTGTCATTTAGAAATGGTTCAGTTATCATTGAATGTAGACGGCGTTATTGCCTGGCAGCTCATGGCCCTGCTCGGCACGCGTACGGACGCAACGAGTGGTGCAAGTAGAGCGCACGCTACGAGCAGAGAGTAGGAAACGGGCAAAGCGATCGGCGCAGGTAGAACGTATAGTTTCAGGTAGAGCGTGTGAGGCGGCCCAAGCGATCGTTGCATAAAGCAAAACTTATGGTGCGGGCAAAATGTACGATCTTGATAAAGCGTGTGATGCGGAGGCGTAGTGAGCTATGCGGGGGGGGGGTCAAAGAGGATCTTTAAGAAGTAGTTGGGATAAATAAATATCCGGGATTTACATGTTATCGCAAGAAACGTTTCTTGCAATTTTCGTTAAACTCCCTGAATTTTCGATAATTGCAAATTTAGTAATATTGAGAGAAAATATATGTTGTTGCAGCTCCACTAGCTTAGGTGTTTAAAGAAGGTTCCTTGCTTCAATTTTTATTCGCAAAACTTACCTAAAAATGTTTAAATCGGAAAACAATTGACATTCGAAGACCGATCGGGCAAAGTTGGGCTCATTAAAATGATGAAATACACAATAAACGTTGTGACATTACATATAATAATACTGTAGTTATTAGTTGAATTCTTTTGCATTCGATGAAAGTATGTTCTTAAATACGTTATTTTAAATGTAATTTAGTAAAATTGATACATGCGTTACAAACGAAGCCCCACTGGTATTTGTTAATGAGAACTAAAATTGTTAAATTGTGCTAGAAACGGCATATGATTGACATTATTTGTTAACAAATAACGGAAAACAGCTTCAACTGAGCTGGAGTAGTCCCCTTGTTAGTGTACGTCCTACTGCGCGGAGTCTTCCGTCGGAGACGCGACGTTTCCGTGTGGTCGTGCATGTGCATGAGCCCACGTGCCACTCAATACCCACGCTCGTGTGAGAGACGTGTGCACGAATTTGTCGGAAAGCGGCTGTGCGAACGTCGCAGGCGGGCATGGGATTTCGTGCATTTGTATAAAGTCACATGGATTTTCCGAGTTTCTTTTTACTTCGTCGAATACGTAGTATAGAAATAATATTGAAATGATGGAAAAACCGAAGTCGATATGTTCACGGAAATACGCGTTTAACGTTTGACTGGCCATTTGCAGACAACATTACTATCCAAACCTTCATAGAAGTTTCTCCAAAACGGAATTTTTTTCAATACATCTAATCGATCATTACTTGGAACAGATTTCAAGGCAAAAATCTCTATCATCAATATTGTATTTTTCATATATTACGTTTTTTCAGCAATTTTCGAAAATACGCAGTTTAATGAAAATGAAACCTGCACATATTTTTTTTTAAGTTTGAAGCGATGTTTCAGAATTTTTTAAAACTTGCACCAATTTTAAGCACAAATTATGGAAAATCAATTTATCTTATTCAAAAAATTAATGACCTTTTATGTATATGACCTTTTTAAAGAGCTGATTTTCAGAACAGGTTTTGTTTAACGCAAAAATCTCAATCTTCAAATTTGTAATTTTTAAATGTTAACATTTTGCAATTATCGAAAATACTGAGAGCTCGCCGGAAATGAGAATCGAACCACATACAGTTCCTTGATACATTCGATTCAAAAATTTAAAGAAAAATTTGGAGCCGTTTTGAGAAAAAAATTGTTGGAAGAAATAACAATTGCCTATTTTGCGCGCAAATTCTTGAAAACATATATTTTCGAAATATTGTACATAACTTTATTTCAAAATGTATTTAAAGAACATATTTTATTGAGGACAAAATCTCTATCTTCAATAGTAAGATGCCTAAAAATTGCACTTTTTCATTTAACGAGAAATTAGCATTTTTTAACGAACATGAAACCTGAACCATTCTCTTTTAACACAAATATTTATTTCTTAATCTAATATATGTATATATACACATTTATACATTTATACATCTTACTTCTATATGACTATTATATATATATATATATATATATATATATATATA